TGGCAATTTCCACCACAGGGGTCCCTCCCTGCAGGGCAGGGATGTGGGGGGAATGCCCCCCAAACCACCAACGCCGGCCCCCCTCCCCCCTGCGGCAAAATTAAGTAGGGAATTTTCCCTATTGTGCGGAGATCTCCTTCCCTAAAAAAAAAAAAATAATAATAAATTATTTTTATTTTAAATTTAATTTAACCAATTATAACAATATATAATATATATTTTAAACCCAACTCCAATCCAATAGAAATTAAACTTAACCCAAGTATGTTAGTTTAGCTATTTATGTTGAATTAATCTTTATTTATCTTTGGAATAAGTCTTCTTTTTTTTTATCTCGATTGCATAATAAAAAGCAACCATCACTTATCTTTTATCACATCTTACTCGCATATCATGCGACTTGAACTCATGACCTCTTACTTCCAGCGAAAAGAGAAAATCACTTAACTATTTAGGTTATTGGCTTAAAACAAGTCTTTTAATTTAGCTATATATGTTGAATTGATCTTTATTTATATTTGAATAATTTATATTTGATTTTATATTTAAAGAATTTTAGTTAATTGTATTTGAATTTTTAAAATTTTATTTATTATAATTAAATATTATTAATTATATATAAAAAATTTATATTTTGATATAAATTGATGGGGAATGAGGGGGCAAAATTTGTCACCCATAAAAAAATCTATGTGGGAATCTCTATCCCTGTCATTTGCAGGATGAGGATAAATAGGGACTTCTCGGCCCCATCAGGCTCGTTATCATCCTTACTTAAACTATATTGTTTTGTTTAATTAAAATGTAATTTAAAATTTAAAAATTATCTTATTAAATGTTGATATATTAAAATATATAATGATTTTTTAAATTTAAATATCAACATTTAATAGAATTAAATTTTAATATTTAAATATAAATTATAATTTTAATTATTTTTAAAAATTAAAATTAATATATACTAATCTCTTAAAAAATTACATTTTCTTTAAGAGCACTAAATCATGGGACAAAAAAACACATGACTATGTACCCAAAAAGAAAAAAAAAACAGATGACCAAAATCATAAAACGAATGGTTAATACCATCAATGTGTTGTGGAACCCATAACACTAGTGGCTGTGATACTTTCGTCCTACTTTTTCCTCTCATATTTTAGTCCTATTTATCATTTTCGTTTCTTTTATAGCCTTCCTCTCAGCGTTTAAAAATTCGATCTTAAGTTTGATGAGTTGGTTGATTATATAACTGATGCGTTGAGGATGGCGGGATTAATGGTTTAAAAATGTTTTACTATGAGGGATTTATGTGGCGTTATTAAAATAATTTTTTTATATAATTATTTTATATAATTTTTATATATTATTAAATAAATATATATTTAATATAATAAATTTTAAATAAATAAAAAATTAATTATATAAATAATATAAAATTATAAAAAATTATAAAAAATTTATCACTATATTATATTAATTTATGAATGAATGCAGATCTAGAGATCTAGTGAGGGGATCCCCCATTGTACTTGCCTTGGATAGTTGGATCCCCATTGGGCGTTTGGGCCACAATTATTGAATTGCTGATTGGGCCTAATCGTGTGTCAAGCGCAACTCAAATGTAGCCCGGCTCGAAAACATACTAAATTTATTGGTAAATGAGTAGGGATGGCAATTTCCCCGATCTCCGCAAAGTCCCGCGGGGATCCCCATCATGGGGACTAGACAGGAAGAATATTCCTCTTTGC